GTATCTTGCTACCCAGGCTGGCAGGGCTGCCAGTTCATACTCCAGCCCTGAAGGTGAACTGTGTGTCACTCAGCAGTGGCTCCTGCCGCAGGGAAGGTCAAACAGCCCCTTGCTTTCGGCTGTGCTGCTTAACCTCCTGGGTGACAAGTAGCTGGGCTTGCAGGAAGGGAACAGCACATTAACATGACTGCTACTAACTCTATTGAACTGAACCATTTCTCCAGGAAGAGTTGGGTCTAACCCCCACTGAAGTCAAAGGGGCAGTTCTGGGGGAGGATCAGCTCTAGTGGGACCTTACCCCATTCATAGGAGGGCAAAGCATCTCCAGAAATACTGTGTCTATAAGTGTCAAAAAAGGTAATGTGGGCCCTGGCTGTCCTCTGTGTTCAGGGCCAGGGACATCATAACACTTCTCTGAGCCCCTTCTGATCGCTCCACTTAGCTGAAACTTCATAGCAGATCTGCATCTTTTGACTACTTAAGAAAATTATCAACTCTGAAAGCAGCTGGAAAGCTGCACCAACAAAAGCTTCAAAGACAACAAAGCCCAGCCAGAAGGATGGAGCCATGCAAGGATCCAAAAGGAAGAGCTGGAAAAGGAGGAAACAATGTTTGTAGGTGTACCAGCTGGGATAATAACTGTCTTGCTTGTCCTTCTTGCAGCTTTCCTCATTGCTCTTTATGGGTGAGGTTTTAGGAAAGGGGTCGCTTTGCCTGCCATCAGCCCTTCCTACATTTGCCATCATTGCCTGTACTTTACCTCTGCCTCTGGCAGCTCTGTGCTAGTTTCTGTAGGCAGGCAACAGTCGAGCTGCAGAGTGGGAGGATGACCTTCCCCCACCGTGGACTTCTGGATCTATAGGACAAAGAAATGTTCAAAACCAGAGAGAAACCACCCAAAGTGATGAGCATCCTGTCTAGCTTTTGGGGTTTTATGTTCTGAACCTTTATCCTTCATATTACACTGTGTGGCACTGATGCTGAACAGTATGGGTCCAAATCATTAACAGTATTTCTTGTGGTCCCTTTCTGGAGCCAGGTCCTTTTTCAGCTGCTGTGGCAGGATGTATCCCACTGAACACACGGAACCAATCTAGCCAGCCCCAAATGGCCACTACAATAAAAGCAGGCCACCCTTCTCCAAGAAACTCTTACCCAAATTCTGTTTTGTTCATTTTAACATATTCATCAATGAGACAAAACTCCTGTTAAACAGAAGCCTGACAAACACTTAGATGGGTTTCCCAAGACTTCCCCAGTAGGAATGTGATTGCAACAAAATAATTCCTCTTGCAACTTTAAGGCTTGTCAGGAGGGCCAAGAAAGCATCAACATTTCAGGCTGACCTCCGAAGTAGTCATAAGCGTGCAGGTTCCATTTGAAACCAGCCCAGTGCCCTTGGCAGTGCCAGCTCCTTCCCAAGCACTACAACACCTGCTTTGCTGCCCATCCCTGGACCATGCTTCTCCCAGTTCTCTTCCTGTGGCTGGGTTGTTCTCATGCACCACAGTCCTGGCATGCTTCTCTGATTCATAGAATCATATGATGATTAGGGTTGGAAGGGACCTTAAAGCTCCTCCAGTTCCAACCCCTTGCCATGGGCAGGGACACCTCACACTAGACCAGGTTGCTCCAAGCCCCGTCCGACCTGGCCTTGAGCACTGCCAGGGATGGGGCAGCCACAGCTTCTCTGGGCAACGTCTGCCAGTGCCTCAGCACCCTCACAGGGAAGAACTTCTTCCAAATGTCTAATCTAAATCTACCTTCTTTCAGTTTAAAACCATTACCCCTTGTTCTATTCCTATGTAGTCTTGTAAAAAATCCCTCTCCAAATGTGAAACTCAAACTAGTACTGCTACATGGCTTGACCTAACAACTGAGCCAGCAGAGATTTAAATGAGCTCTGCTGCCAGTGCTGGAAGCCTGATCTGGGGCACCCTGGCCTCATGCGTCACCGCCTGCAGAAATCGCTGGTGTCACTGAAGTAGTTTCATTTTGTGTCAAGGAGCTTCTGCATCCCTTCCCCCATGCCAAGTGCTGTGCAAACCCTGGGAATCCTCCCTCTCAACACTCTGGCATGGTATAATTCTAGACATTTGAGGGACCCCTAACAGTATGTGCTTTAAACGAGACAAGCGATATCTTGCTCACTTCTCTCAGATAAATAAAGTGCAGACTCTAATCTTCTAGTTCTCTGTTCTTTGTGCTGATTTTCTTTTGCACGTATGAATAACATCCTGTCACTCCTTCCACATGTGTGGCTTATAGGTATTACCTAAAAGATGCTATTTCATATTTGACTCCCATACATTTAATAGGCTTGTGGACTACAGGGAAGGTACAATGCTGAAGTAAAAATGCACTTTGCGTGATGTTTTTCACACAGATGTATCTTTTCATGCCTGTAAGGACTCACAGGGCACAAATGCTTCTTTAGATCAAACAACAGACAAGGAGAAAATGTGTTTTGTAAGCAGAGAGACGACCCAAGTATAAAGTTGTTTGCAGAATGTGTGTGAATTTTATGTTTCCTGGTCTTTGGTTTCTCCTGGGACCTTACATATTTTGCATTATTATCAAATATTTGCAATGATCCATATAAACAGCCTCATGTTAAAGGCTACTCCAACTGTAACTTGACCCAGAGGAAAGATGCTTATCTGAGCTCCACAATGACAGATTTAAAAAAGATGCTGATGCAGTTTGGCTCTCAGAAAATGAGGGAAATGTAAGAAAAACCAAAACTGCAGAGATTTTTGCCTTTTTTAACCAATAGATAAAGTAGGAGTTATCTCTGACGGCTTTCACAGTGGAATACCACTTGAAAAAGCTACACATACCAGCCCTTCTGCTCTGGGACACATTAGGCAGTGAAAGGAGGAGAGTAGTAGATGCTCCACGTGCCTGTACTGTCAGAGTCTATTTCACTGTTTGGTAAGTATTTTTTGGTTATTACTATGACAACACAGACCATAAGCGCTGTTTCTTTAACCCCAGCAAATGATAAGTGCAGATGAGATCTTTTTTTCTTTGCTAACTGAAGTCATTCCTTTTTACACTTTCGATGCCAATCCCCGTGGAATGAAAGTGGTGGCAGATACCAGGGTGAGTTGCCTTGCCCTGCCTCCTGCTTGCCTGTGCAGCCTGCAGCTGGGGCTGCTGCAGGGTGGCACTCGGACCATTACTGTGTATCAGGAGGCACTGGAGAAAGGCTCCACACTGGCTCAGCACTTGCTGTCTTGAAAAAAAAACAACCCCAAAAGCAGCAGCATTCTCCTTTTAAAGTGCTTCCAAATCTTTTACATCGCTTTTCCTTTTCTCTCTTTTCAACCCCCACCTTCTTTTTTTCCCCTCTTGTGGTCCTGGAGACCACCCTGTAAGTCTACATGACATCATGAGAGAGAATGAAATGTACTTGAAAGGCCACTTCTGTTTTGGTGGGAACTTCTATGCAATTGCAAAGTGCCCATTAAAGCACAGGTTGTTTCCTAGAAGCATGTCCAAGCCAGTAGCGTGCAAACCCCTTCAGGGCTTCTAGAAAGCATTCGCTTTTGAAATGCTGAAGGAAATTCAGAGATGAAAGGATAAGTCCCCCTGGCTGTGCATTTACAGTCTATTGTCTTCCATGAAGGATAGTATCACTCCTCAGTTGTGTTATTGCAGTTAATCCACTTAAATGCTATTGGATTTTCAGATGAGCTGAATTCTTTGCATCTGCTATTAAGATGCTTTGTTTAGATGAGAAAGGGCTGTTATTTAAATCACAATGAGTTCAGGGAGATGTCAGGGTGCAGCGGGCACCTTGTCCCGGTCTGCGCGGGGGGACAGGGGACATTTGCTCTCCGGGGAGGGAAGAGGCAAGAGGGAAGCGACCTGCTGCTCCCGCCCGGCTCCGGTGCTTCGCTGGCCGGCACTGGCGGGGGGGGACTGGGGGCGCCGCATCTCCGCGGCCGCGGTGGGGAGCCCCTCTCCCGCGCATGCCGCAGCCGGGTGCCGCAGGGCGGAGGGAGCCCGCTGCCCCCCCAACCGCCTTCCATTTATTTTTGTGGGGTGCTTTTCTGCTTCTTAAGGAGGAGGTGCGCTTGTGTCTGTGTGTGTGTGCTCTTTGCAATGAAGGCTGCGCTGCCACAGCAGCGAAGAAGCTACGTTAAAACAAAAATCACAACACAACCCACCGCCGCTCTGCCCCTCCCCTTCGGCAAAAGGCAAAAGTGTGTGTGTGTGTGGGAAATAAATAATAACAATTAAAACCCTCACCGGCCCCTCCGTGGCCACGGCCATCTCCTCCGCCTTACATAAAGGCAGGGGCACAAGGTGGATCCCGGGAGGTTGGTTACCCGGAGGCTGCTGCGCAGAGCGCCCGGCCCTTCCCCCGCGCCGTGCAGTGCCGTGCCGTACCGTGCCGTGCCGCAGAGGGACGGGGGGCGGCTGCCCCGGCCCCCCCCTCCGCTAACTCCCCATTCCCTGCTCTTCTTCCCCCCTCTTTCTGACATGTGGGCACAGCCCCTGTGCCCCGCCAGCAGCCGTGCAGCGGGCGGCAGCCCCCACTACTTGTTGTTTGTGGGGCTGGTGCCAGGAAAACCGGGGGGGAGGGACGGGGGAGGCGCATGGCGGGGAGCGGTATATGCTGCTCCGCGCCGGAGCCACGCTCCAGACCGGCCACCGCTCCGGAGCGAGCCCGAGCCCTCCCTCCGGCAGGAGTTGCAGTTCGTCTCCGATCCCCTTGGGATTTAAACCTTCTTGCGTATATATATATATAGATATATATATATAATTTTACCCCCTTTCCTCCTCCTCCTTTTTCTCCCGTGCAAAGTGGAGAAGGAACTGCACCAAGGCAGCCCGCGATATTGCTCCTATTTATCACTGCTATTATTCGTAATTAATGATTATTTTTAACCTCGCCGCAGCCGGGGAGGGGAGCGGGGCCATTCCCGGCTGCAGAAACCTTGCGATCCCTATCAATAAAGATTTTTGATTTTTTTTTAACCCCCCCCCCCCCCCCCCCCCCCGCTTTTTGAAGAGAGGGGAGCGGGTGGAGGTTGAGCGCAGCGGGGTGGGGGGAAGCCGGCAGCCAGCTCCGGCCCCCTGGTCCCGGTCCCGGTGTCGGAGCGGGAGGCCGCGGCGGCAGGGGGAGGCGGGCCCCGGCGCCGCCCGCCGAGAGGGGGGCCAGCCGCCCCAGACAGGTGATGGGCGTTTCGGCTGCGCTCCGGATCGACTCCTTGGGTTTCACTTTGGTCTGATCTAAGCAAATATGCAGAAGTACCGGCTGGTCTAGTCCTAAGAGCCAAGAGGAGCGAGCGAGAGCGGCGGGAAGGAGAGCGGCCGCGCTCCCGTAACGAGGGGAACATACAAACAGCGGCCGCGCCGCGATTCAAGCACCGCCGCCCCGAGGCAGCCCCGACCCGCCCTGGATGCGGAGCACCCCCGAGCCGCCCCGCCGCCTTTCCCCTGAGGGATGGTACTGAATCTCTGCGCGGCAGGAGCCGGCCTGCAGCTCCTCTCCATCAGCGTTGCCTTCCCTCCGTGTCTAAAGTGCACTAGACCGCGATGAGGACCTGGGCTTGCGTTTTGCTGATAGGTTTTGGCTACCTGTCCTTTACCTTCTCCGAGGTAGGTGAGAGCGGCTTCCTGCGAGCTCGGTCCCTGGGGCACGCCGCGGCCGGGCTCAGCGGAGGGCGGGGGGGGGTTGTGCTGCCCACCTGGGCTCCGCGGCATCCCCGGGCCCCTCCGGGAGCGCCCGCCCCGGCGCAGCCACAGCCCCGGCGCGGCCGAGGCAGAGACCGAGTTGCCATTTCATGGGGGGGTCAGCGGCGGAGGGGAATAATGACCATGCATTCCGCTCCGGGGCTGCTGGCTGCCCTTGAAATGTATGTATATTATATGCATACTCTGTCTGTATTACATATATATATATATATTCGCGCCCCGCGGGCGCTGTCGGGCTGCGGCGATTTGCGGGCAGAGGGGTGCTTGGAGCCGCCGGACAGCGGCCGCCCCGCGGCGCACGGCGCTGCACGCACCCGGCCGCGGGCACCGTCAGTGCCGCGGGCAGAAGTTGGTTTAATTCCCTCCACCCAGACACCCCTCCCGCGTGTTTGAAGAGCACTGGGCGCAGGGCGGGTGAGGGCCGGGGGCTTGCCTGTGGCCGCTCGGGGAGAGGAGCCGCGCATGGGGTGGCTACAGGTGGCCCTGGTCGGGGCGGGCGCGGTGCACGGCCCCCGTAACTTTTCCCGGGACCGAGTGTGCTGGCACTGGGAGCCGCGGTGTGGGCGCTGGTGGGATGGCGGCGGCGCCGTGGGACACGGTCCCCCCTCTCCTTCTCCTGCTCTCACCGGGTCCGGGCAGCACCGCGCCTACCGCGGACTTGACGCCTGCTGGGGTGAACTTCGGCGGCGGCTGCCTGGGGCGGGTTTCCAGCCCTGGAGCGCGGCTCGCAGGCGCAGCTCTGCCGGGCACACGCTCCTCCGAGCCGGGCTGCCGCCCCAAGAGCCGTGGCGCAGTTCAGCGGGGCGGGAGCGCTCCAGCGCCCGGCGAAGCGTGGGTGTGCGGAATTGACCCCCGTTTCATCAAACACGTCCAGCAAACACCCTGCACCCTCCGTAAAGCCCCCCCGCCCCCCAGCCCCCAAGCGCCAGATCCCTGGTGCTGCAGGGGTGCTGCGCAGTGACCCGCGGTGTGTGTGTGTCTTTGAAGGAGGCCGAGATCCCGCAGGAGCTGATCGAGCGGCTGGCGCACAGCGAGATCCACAGCATCCGCGACTTGCAGCGCCTCCTGGAGATTGACTCCGTAGGTAAATTAGTCCCGTCCTCCTTCCTTCCGCGCCGTCGGCCGCCGCCGCCCCGGGGGGGAGGCACCGCGGGCGGCCGCGGCGCAGCACCCCGCACGCCTCTCCCCGCTCCGTCAGGCTGCATCCCCTCCTAGACGAGAGGCGTGCAGGAGCCAGCCTCGAGAGCCAGGCTGCCCTGGGCAGGGGAGCTTCATTTCAAAGGGAGGCGGCGGCCAAAGGGGCCGATCGGGAATTAAAAACTTCGGGGGGCTCAGGGTGGAGAGGGACCTGGTGACCCTCAGTGTTTTCAGACCTCTCCGTCTCTCAGCGGAGAGGAATTTCCATAAGGTTTGTTGTTGGTCTTGCATTGCTCTGTTATCTTTAAACTACTGTCCTAGAGGTATTTAAAATATTTGAAACAATATTTATGAATGAAGTAATGTCTCTTCAAGCACTGGGCTTTATTAAAAGGAAAATAAACCATCCGCGCTGATTTTAAACAGGAACCTGCATATGAAGCTTACCCTTAAAAATACACTTTTTTTCTTTTTCCCCCGAAAAAGAAAATAGCGCAGGGTTATTTTCTGCATCATTAGGCATGCAAATGGGTGTAGTGAGAACGTGCAGCTCAAGCAGATCGTTGCAGCAGTAAATCAGATCTAGAAGCACTGTAGTACTGGGTTTCTTATCATTTGGTTTCACTTGCTGCACTTTGTTCCTGGTGATTTCTTCCCCTAGTTGAGAGAGAATAAGCCCGGTACCTTTGATGTGCCCAAGGGAAACCTGCATCTTTTTGAAGAGCAAACATGGAGAAAAATGAATGAGTTCTTGCTACGTTGGTACTGGGCCATCTCCTTTTAAACCATATGCTGTGTATTTTTGTAAAGTCTGTGCCAGGTTCAGTCACCTTCATTCAGTGTTGCAGGATCCTTCTAGAGTTTAACTCGCTGCTTTTTGTGTAGTGCTGTATTAATGAGCAGGAATGCACTAGGAACGTGCTTTACAGACAGAGCTTTCAATTTTCATGTGCTTGGGGAGCAAACGGTTTCTCATTACACTGAAAATGGGAATATTTCTCTTACACAACAGTTTACCATAGAGGCTAATTACTAATTACCACATTTGTTGGCATCAGTTTCATATTTTTGGAGAGCAGCGCTTCATCATTATTGCTTATCACTGCAATTAAAAAAGCTTTCACAACAGGGAGGGGGTATGCAATGCGTATTTCCCCACTGAAGACTGTTTTGGACCAGACAAGTGCACTACTGCTAAAATCTCTTTTCCCAGTGAACTCAGTGGAAGGCTTGGCTGCTGTTGCAGAAGGACTGGATCTGGGTGTTTTTAAATACTGCATGCTGCTTCTGCATGTGAGGCAGTACTCTGTAGCTACCAGAAGATGTTATATTTTCAAATACCCCAGTGTACCAAGCACACGCTTCATTTTTAAATACCACTTAGAAGGAGAGCAAAAGTTCACATGGCTCCATTGCAAGGGAGTCAAGCAGACAAGTGAAGCTGAATAAATCAGTGGATGTAGCAGAGAAATTTATTCCAGAAAATAATTATTTACCTCGTGGCAAATATTAACCAGAGGATGCACGACCAAAAATTGAAGAGGTCAGCCACAAGTTTACTGTTTCATTTTGCTGTTTTTGTGCAGCTTGTCAGGTTAGAAACCATTAGAGAAACAAGACACATAAATATTTTACTATTTCAACATGAAACAGTAATGCCTTAAGACATGAACTCAAGATTAAAAAATAAACCCCAAATACTCAGCCTTTCATCCTCTTCTTGCTTATGTGAGTGCTCTTTCTGCACGTGTGCTAAGCTTTATTCTGGGCTGCATAGGCAGGACTGGATCTTCATGGGGAGTAACTGGTCTTTACTCCCTACAGTACGTTTTCTGGGTATGGTCCTTCAGTCTTTAGTGTCATCAGTAATTCTTATTGAGGGTTTATCAGGGTGACTTATCAAACATTGAAATCACCATGTTTTCTTCAGGAAACTGGATTAGGCCTGTTTACTATATTTAGTATTGGCTTGGATTAGCAAATCAAATGTTTTCTAGTTGTCACTGGTAAGGTGGTATTTCTGAAACGTACTTCCTTAGGGCTGTAATTGCATTTAGGGAAGGGCTTTTTCAGTGAGGTCTTGTCCAGTAGATATATTTCTGTTTTATAGCATATACTGATTTAAACTGAGGCTCAGAATACAAACACTCCAGTGATTATTTTCTCACTCATTTTAGTGCATGGTATTGCCAGTCCTTCTGCATGTGAGTAGCCCTGTTTAAACTCAGTGGGTGGACTTGAGAATTAAGAATGATCTTGTAGGGTAAGAGTTTGCAGGATCAGGCATGCATGCAAAAAATGTCTGATATTCCTGAGTAACAAGGCAGAATCTGTGAAAAATGAAGGAAGAACAGTAATTTTCTCTCCTGCAACGCAAAGCATATATTTTTAATTGGAAAAGTAAGTTTTGTAAGTCAGAGTGGGCAGGTTTTTCTTCTATTCTGACAGATTTGGTCTCTATATTGTAGCACAGAGATGACTGATAACCCCCTTCGTAAAATTAGAAACCACACCCCCAGACCATCTGGCATATTACTTAAAGAAAAACAGTACCCAACATGGAGCTTAGCATTGTATTCAAAAAAGAAAATCCAGGCCAATTTGTCAGAGCCCAGCGCTGCATGTCCAATGCAAAGAGAAACCCCTGTAAGGGCAATAGGAAAATTCTCTGTTTATATCAGAAAACAGGGTCTTGCATTAATTTGCTACGATTGGGATCCATAGTTGGCAACGGAGCTTCATTGGCGTGACGGAGAGCAGAGTCTGACCCTATTTAAAACAGAAAGCGTGCAGGATCCCAGGAAGTAGGCAGCTGTAGCGTGCAGAGTACAGTTTTACTACTAACAGCCTAAATCACTGAAACGGGGGCATTTCCCATGTTCCGCCTGTGAAGTGCTTTAGCTTAGCAGCGTGGTTTTTCTCCTCGCGCTTCACCTCTCCCATCTGTCCTGTGGGAGGTAGGGTTCATTTCATCACCTATTATGTTTGCCTCCCGCTGGGAACAGATTTTTCCCCCAGTCATCTCCCTGCGTGGGGAAAGGCAGGGCTGAGTGTGCTTCTTCGCATGGTTTAAGGGCATCAACCACAGGGTCGCCTTAGGCCATGTGAATTTAACGGCCTGTGATTAAGAACTAGCAGAGCAGCTTTTGTTAAGTGGAGAAATGTTCTAAATTAACAGTATACTTTCAGGGAGAAGTGTTAGATTGCTGCAGAGCTCAGTCTATTGGAAAATCTGCTGCAGACTGTGGCTTGTGGCGTGGCACTGGAGTTAAGGATGTTACAGTGCAATGTGGTTGTATTCCTTGCACCTCCTAAACATCATGAGAGGCAGGCATCTGCCATGTGTTTTTCCTGAGACAGACAGAGGGAATACTCCTCTTCCTTTACAGCTGGTTGATCACATCTAGGTAAATGGAAAAAAGCCCTAAACAAAACAGGATCTTGCAGGCTGCTACTTATATTTCCTTTAATAGATCAAAGTTGAAAACTTAATGACATCTATCTCTGCAGTTGGATGTCAGAAGGGCGTATTTTGCATCAGCCAGAAGGAAGATCAAACAGATTGACGTTGCCTTGGGCTTTCTGGCTCTAGGACCCATTTGTAAGACAGACCAGTTCAGTTTATGGGACCTTACATTGAATTCCTGGGAAAAAATAAAAATAAAATAAAATAAATCCTAAACTGCTGCTGTTGGTACTGGAAGTCTTGGACCTCTACATTTTGGATGCACATCAAAGCAATGTCTAGAAGGGTTTGTGTTGACTGCGTGCTTTGGGGATTGTACCTCACATAAAATTGCTTGGGAAGGAGATGGCAATGTGAAAGGATAAATTGATAAATAGAAAATAGCAGTAGTCTTAGGATGCTTTCCACATGCTTATTTAGTGAAAAGAGTAATCACATATTGGCAGAATGTCACAGGAACTCTGTGATTTATACTCCATGACCCCATGGAAAAATGCCAGTCTGACAAAAAAGAACAATTTCAGCTACACTAATGGATTGACCAAGGCTAATTGCAAGAGCTTTTGTACCCATCATTGATATGTTGTCAGTACAGTAAAGATTACAGAGAAATTTCTTGATCAGCTGCCATGAAAACATTTTTTTATTATTATTAAAACATTGAGAGCTGCGTTAATCTGGCTCCCTGCAGCATCCTCCATCTTCACTTAGTGACAAGCAGTGTTCAATTTCTAAACTAAGAACCACCCGTTTCTAAGCTTTCAGCTTTGAGCCTCATTTTGTGAGGCGCTAAGCACCCATAAACTCCCATTTCCTTTGCTAAGAGCATATCCTTATCCTGCATGCTCCTAGATCAGTACATTAAGGGGAAAAACTGGTGCAAATTAGGCATCAGGCTTCTTTAAAGTCCAACTAGGGAGTGCTATTTATCATCATTGTTTTAATGAAGTAAAAGAAAGCCTTCTGGCCACACATCCAGAGTCAAGTGTGGGTTTCAAAGCTGACTTTCTGATTTTCCAGTCCTGCTCAGGCAAGACTCCTGTTGATTTAAAGGTTGCTTGAAGTGCAGTGATGTTCCCATTGGCTTCACTGGGAAATGGAATTCCTTCCAAATGCCTGTGGGGGTCAGGGGAACCCCTTTAGCATTGTAGCATCCTCTGGCTCCAGCCTTGTGCTCCATAATTCTGTTTATTAAAAAATGAAAACACCCAAGCACAAACACATCAATGCTGTGTCAATAGAAAGAATACAATTTGTGATGCATAATGCATTGAGGTTTGACTGGAACTCATTTTGCAGTCTGCTGTGCTAGCTGTGTAGATCTCTTTCTTTAACCCCCACAGCGAGACGTGAACTTTTGAAATGATATACATGTCTAAGATATGTAGTGAGACAGTGAGATGCAGTATGAGCCAGAGGCCTTCCTCACCTTAGAAATCATCTTATAAGCAACACATGCTCCTCGACATGTCATTTTGCTTTATAAACATGATGATAGAATATGGCTAATTGCAGTGGAGTTGAGCAGTTATATATAAGCACATGGCTTAACATATTGGTTAGCTGATCATCCTATTCCTTTAGTCTTCCTAGTTTCTTTAAACAAGGCAGCAAGAATTCAGTCATGTTAGGAGGGAGCTGTGCCAGCGTGTTGAATGTGGGATTAGGACCTGTAGCTCAGGCCTGCCGTACAGTTGGCATCATCAACAGTTTCTGTTTCCAGCAAGATGTCTGAGCCCACCAAGCAGTTCGGATTAGAGGCATTAGTTTTGTGTTTAATCTTTTTTAAACACTGTTTATACTCGGACAGAGATGCTTCTTGCTCTGAGCCTAGCTTAGGTCTTATGCTGAGCAGAAGTCATGCTGCTTTCTTTTGAGTATCACTTCATTGCCTCAAATTGAGGGAGACACTCTGACAACTTGAAGCTGCCAAACAGCAGGCCAGTACAAAGGTATTGGGTGGCTGAGTTCTAGGAAGCAGAAGAGGGATGGAGGAACATCAGAACGGATCCTCATTTTGGATGACACCATTTGGAGACAGGTGGATGGCCTGGTGCCATTGGAATGGGGTACAGGAGACCTGTCACAAACTTCCTGTGGGGTTTCAGGCAAGCCCTTTTATTTACCACACTGATGAGTTTCCTGGAGTATGTGATACAGTAAGGGCAGAAATAAAATCCATTAGCCATCACTGTGTTACATTACAGGAGTGGGACTGCAAATAAGGCCCACTATCAGCTAATCAGTTTGGTGGGGAAACTTCCCATTGAAACTAATGGGAAACAAGCACTCTACGTAGGAAGTAGGAGCTGACTTACTTGAGTAAAGTGAGATTTTGGATTTCATGCTGGCTTATTTCAGACAGGAATCTGTTCAGCTGATGAGGAAAATAGGGCTAGTGGGTGATCCTGGCATTACTTCTTGAACCTCCCGTTTTGTCTTCTCTTAGCTACCTATGGTGGTATTTTCCAAGAAGTGAAGATAACCCCTGAGGCACAGAGCTCTTTCTCAGGTGCTGAAGATAGCACTACCATTATGTCTTATCAAGCTCTGCAGGTGATTTCACAGACTGCAGACTCTTTAGGAGAGGACTTGTTGGAGGGAGGAGACAAGAGCTGATGTGTTTGTAAAGCAGACCCTTATGATGTGTATTACTAATAAAGCTAAGAATAAAACAAGCTCCAGAGTCAACTCAAAATGAACTGGAAGCAGGAAGCTAACAGTGCGGAAGACAGGAATGTAGGGTGTTGTAGAGAGGGTGAGCATTGTGTAATAGTCGTTTACATTTTTTGGTACACGTCACAGTTTTCTTTGGAGCCAGCAATGAAACCTTGAAACTCTCCAGTGATGTTACAGAGGGCACTCCAAGAAGCAGAGTGCTAAAAGTCTTGGTTTTGGTGTACTGAAATCTGTATGTAGTCCTTGGTTTGCTTACATCTGCCTGATCCCCTGTTTGCAGATTGTGCTTGTTGTTTTCAGAACCCCACTGCATGGGACACGACCTGGACTGCTTCACTTAAGAAAACCAAATAGTTGGAGCAGTTATTTTGTTGGTTTTTCATGATAAATGCAATGCCAAGTTTTCCATCTTTGCTTTTTCTCATGGCCCTTTAACCCATGTGGTAGGCTTATTTAGGGAATAAGACAAGCCTGGATGCAGTCCCAGAGTTTGCAGTAGCTTCAGATGCCCCTCCAAAGGTTAGGATACTTCACAGGGGATTTGTTCTGCAACAGAGAGGCTAAAAGGAAACCCATGCTAGTTACTTTATGCTTTTGATTCTGTCCTAGTACTGTCCTGAGAAGCAAGCAAGAGAAAATTGACAGAGGCAGCATTGTTGCTGTTGGCTGTGTAATACCATGTTTTCTACCATAGCCTCAAAACAAAATATCAAAAAGCTTCTAAGAAACATTTCATACAAAGTATTATTTATTTTTTTTAAATTTCTGCACCTTTCCAGAAAGAAAAAGCTGTATCATATCTTCCACATAAAAATGCAATTGTTTTACTTCAGATATGGTTTTGTTTTGCAGTGTGTGCACTATTTCTGGGGACTTGCAGTAAAACGGATGTTAGAATTAAGTTGTGCATGCTTATACATGACGTTTAGTGTATGTGTCTCTCCTGCATTATGCCCTTGCGATTGCATTGAAAGGAGTTACATTAAACTAGTCGCAGCAGGATTTGGTCGTGTGCATATGAATAGCACTGATTTATGTGTATGGAGCAGCACTGTAGCAATATCGATGCGAATAGCGTAGCTAAGGTTTAATGTTTTGTTTCCTGTTCTAGGATATGATGATGTCTCAGAAACAAACTTGAGATCTTACAGTGTTCATTCTGCTAAACATGTGCAAGAGAATCGTCCTGTGCCCATTCGCAGAAAAAGAAGCATTGGTAAGAAACAAGCTATTTGTACTTAGAGAGTAAAACCAGAAGGGGTGCTTTTGGTCAGCCAAGCGGGACATTTCACTGGAAAAATGTGTCATGCACAAAGGAAAAAGGCCATTTATTTCTGCCTTTCTTTTTGCACACAACGAGCCGCTGCCTGAGAAGCTGTCTTCTGGAGGATGTCCATAGGAGACAGACAAGCACGAATTCTTTACATTCACTTTCTTGTTGCAGCATGTTAGAAAGCTAGACCTTGGTTAGAAAATGCTGTGATATTCGATGTATAATTCATAGTGTGGAGAACAACCAGAGCAGTGTGCTTTAAAAAACATCAACAGTTGGTAGAGTTTTCAGTACAGAAGCTCCACAAAAGGAAACAGCTTGACTCTTTATTCACAAGAAAAAAACAGTTTATCCAAAAAATTAAAAGCCATTGATGGAAACACTGGGGCATTGGTTTCCATCAGTGCATAGGGCACCAGGCATGTTTACAAAGGATTTTGTTCCTATTAAACAATAATGATGGTGATCCAGCGAAGCTCAAATATAAAGAGAGGGCTAGAATAGGATTTGTATGCAGTGCTTCTTCATCTGATTAATTCTGAGTGTTTTACCATTCCATTTGACTATGGAAAACATGATCTTATCTATTATAGGTAATTCAGAGTCAGTGTATTTGTACTTGAAGCTATGGTGGTACGCAGGAGATAGCACAGCATGCTGTCAGCATGGATTTGCAGTGTGAATTGGCAAGCGTGCTCGTCACATTGAATGCCTCTAGAGAACAGCGGTTCTGAAACAGTCTGCTACACTTGGCACCCTACTCTGCAAGGTGTTGAATGCCTCCCCATAAAAGTCGGTGGGAACTGGATATGCTCAATAACTTGGAGGAGTTGCCAGCTATTTTGCAGTATTGGATCCGTTAATTTTCTTGAGTTCATGGCATTGAGAACAAGAAGTTTCATTCTGTTTTGCTGGCTGAAATGGGTCTCTTTCAAAACTAAGCCTACTTTTTCATATTGCAGGAAGAGGCCAGGCCTGAACTTCTAGCACTTCAGCAGTAACTGAAGAAGTGCAGGCAGTATTCCAGTTCCTTGACACATCTAACCCAATGCTATCACTGTAAGGCAAGGAAAAAAATCCAGTCTGTCTTCAGAGAATGTACCATCAAACAAGTTGTCCCAGCAATACCTATTATTTTCTGGATTGTTTGGAATTACCAGCTTGATTTCTTAGGCAGTCCCTAGGCTGAGAAAGATACATGATTTGTGTTTTTGGTGGCAGCATCATGTAGCAGTACAGAGCTACTCTTTATGATCATTATAGCAACTGTTGCCTGTAAGGTTACCTTACCTGAGCGCAGCAGAATATTGGTATAGCTGCTGAGTTTTCGGTTGTGCTTCTCTTGGTTATTTGCCTCCTTCAAGAAATAACAAGTTAAATAAAGCCCACCATGTACAAAGCTTTGATAACTTCATTCAGAAAAAAATGGCATTTGCCCTTTGGGATGGCAGATGGACCAGACTCCCTACTGTGGGGGTGTTAAGGTCTTGGAAATGGAAACCTAAGACTTGAAAGTTCCAAGCTTCTGTGGGTTGTTTCCCAGCTCAGCCAATTTGTGTGTGGTGTAAATACTCTCACCACAATTTCTGTGATGGTATTTGCCAGGTATTGCATGTTTGTGTGGTGGTATATGTGTGCAGTGATGGCCCCCGTGTCATAAAATAACAGCTGATGTTACGTAGTTGCTGTAAGGCTGTATTAGGGGATCATCGGATCTGGACAAGCCCCTGGCTCGCTGTCACTTCTAAAGAGCCAAGATTGTCTTATCTAATGGTATGCACTCTGAGCTATGTTGGGAGCCAGGCCGTTGTAAGCCCTCATTTTAGGGCTGGGATTTTGGGAATGAGTCAAGCTTCTCCCTAGGATAGCACACACAGTTTTAGTGGTAGCCAGATAGTACTCAGCACTGATTTGTCAGCAAGCAATGGGAACTGAGAACACCATCTCAACCCACCAGCTAAGGGTGCCACTCGTAAATGTAAAGTATCTGGGTGCTCTGAGGTGCGAGCAGATGCTCACCTGGAAGTGTGAATTTCTTGTGTTCGCAGAGGAAGCTATCCCAGCTGTCTGCAAAACACGGACGGTTATATACGAGATACCTCGGAGTCAGATTGATCCCACCTCTGCCAACTTCCTGATATGGCCACCCTGCGTGGAAGTGAAACGTTGCACTGGCTGCTGCAACACCAGCAGCGTGAAATGCCAGCCCTCGCGGATACATCACAGAAGTGTCAAGGTGAGCAAATTGCGGCTGCAGAGCCCCAGGAAGGTCCTCTTTAAGTCTAAAACCTCCAGGTATCCTTGTGGCTGTTCTGCATGACCTGGATCTGTATTACCCACCCTCATAGCTGCAGGATCAGATACAACGCTCCTCTCCATTTTGAGTGCACAGATGGCTTCTTCAAGTTACATGGTCACTGGAATATCTTGGGTTTGGATTTGATTTTCACACGATTCCCTTTAGATTTTGCTTCTCCTGTAACGAAAATAAAGCTGATTGTGTCTTTCCCATGATCTTGCACAGTACAGATCTTAAAAGTTAAGAAGATAAAATGACTCAAGGGGCATTGGATTTAAAAAAATAAATAAATCACAGTATGGAATGCTGTTTTCTTAATTAAATATTATGCAGGCTAAATTGGGCTTTTATATTTGACAACATAACACTTTTGATCTGAAAAAATGTGTTTCAAATTATCTTACCCCAGGGATAGAAGACTGAACGGCTTCATGCTGTATTTATTCATTAGACAAAATCCCTGTTGCAATTTTCCAGTAAATACTACGTGAAGTATTTCTTATGTTCGTTCGGCTTCAATGTGTTCTAATTTTTATCAGTATTTAAACAAGTAATGTTGATCTACATCTGCGTGTAGATTAGACTTGCACTTACCATTTGTATTGCTAAGACTCTTGAGTTCTTGTTGCCCTGAGTATTTTAAGGGCAGAATTAAAAAACCCCCACATTCTTGATTGTAGAATTGCCCAACAACACAGAGTATTGTGCTTGCAATGGATTCCTGATTGAGAAAGGTGCTGTTACTGTACATCCTAAACAGAAAAGGCACCTAACCTGTTTTACTGTTTTTCATACACGCAGGCACACATCTGAGCAGGGCTTTTTTCCCTCATTTCTGTTCCTGAACATCTGAAAGATGTTTTCACGCCTAAATAAGCTCGAGAAACATTGAACCGATTCCCTCAGTCTTTTACATTTGCTGCCCTTTGTGGGGTATGCTTTGCAGAAACAGTTAAAAACTAGGAAAAAAATTGGGATGAATAATTATTCAATAGTTGGGAACAAACTTGAGAAGTTGAAGCACCACAATAGTAAGCCATTGAGAATAGGAGCTAAACAGCAAAGTGCTTCAGGTTATAATATACAGTGCTGTTGCCTTTGAGTTTGGTGCAGCTTCCAGTTAATTTTGTGTAGCAACCACTATGTACAAAGCAGCTGGAGATGCCCAGCAAAGAGCTGAGCCCTGTATTGTGAACTTGCTGTTGATGCCTGTGTGTGACACTGCAGCTGTGGAGTGATGGGACAGATCATAGGCTGAGAAGTTTGGCTGTTGAAATCCCCTGCTGTTGGGGACATTGAGGATTCCCCAGAAGGTGCAGACTCCCCAGCTGCAGCAGCTTTGCTGGGGCTGTTTCCCAGCACAATGCCACAATAAGGAAATCTTAGTTTCTCGTTCCATCTGCTGATACAGTGTTAGTGCTTTTAGATGTGCGTTCATTTTAGTAGGGTGCAAGCTCAGAGCAGGCGCAGCTGAGCAGCTGCTTTTTGTGGCTGTGTAAATATATTGCCACCAGCAATATCAATATACGTCAGCCAGCTTCGGAGGACTCTTTTTGTTTTTTTCCAAGCTCCAAGACTGCTCCAAACAGTCATTAAATAGAAGGGGAAAAAAAAGGACAAGAGGTCAAGCAGGAACAGGATGTTCATTGTAAAGGTTGTAGGCTGACCCCACTGTCACACCAGAAATCTCTGAACAGAATCCATATTTATGCCCTCCAGAGTCAGATCGTCTTGTAGCTTTGATATAATTGATGGGTTTATGAGCCTTTTGCCAATCCTGTGTTCAGAGCTGAATGTCTGCTCATGCCATTAAGTAGCTGGCCCAGAGTGAGGGTCACTGGAAAGGTAGGGGGGAGCAGTTTTGGAGAGCCTTCTCAGCTATGCCTGCAGTGCAGTTGGAAAGCGTCTTGTGTTTTCCCCTGATGTCAGACTGCATAAAAGCCCTCTTTTGATTGAACATTGAAAAGGCTTTCCCCACTTCCCCTTCATTGACAAGGTAGTGAGATCATAGCTGGCCCATTCACACTAGAAAAATGTTCATCCAGAAAGGTCAGCAAATGGGTTTGCATCACCCAACTGGCGAAAGCAAAGGGTGTTTTCTTTGTCTTACTGAGGGCCACTGTAGTCAAGGTTAAGAGACGGCTCTGGCAATATGGGAGGAGTAGCAGAGGTGCCTGTATTGGGGCATTCCCTTCCTGTGGCACGATTCAAAGTCTGTAGGGCTCAAGGATGTCCTTACTTCGCCTTCAGGTAGCTTTAGTCAGTGAAGTACCATTAATGGGCTTGTGGAATTGGATCTGTAGGGTGACTCTAAGCCAGGGGTGTTGGTGGAACAGCATCCCTGGAATGAGTCCTTTAAGGTTTCCCTTTCATGGGTGGGTTAGTAAAAGGTAGGTTTGCACTGCATAGTACCAGAATGAGTCCATGAGAGCACAGGCTCCTGGTCCTAAAGCCATCTCTGTTCATCAAGCTGTACCTGTACCACACTGCAAAAATCAGAAGGAAATGAAGAAGGCTGGTTGGGAGCTGCTCTTTGATAGGAAGGAAAGTACTGCATTTCTCTTCTGATAGAGTAATGGTGACAAGGACTGGTGAATTAGGGGTGTTGCTGTCTGTTACAGAGATATTTCTTCCCTTGTCTGCAAAAGCATTTCAGTAACTTCTGCAGATTCTGTTGCTTCTGATCAAGTGCTTGCCAAGTACCAGACCACAATTTACTTGGGTGGGTTCTGAACTGAGTCTTCCCAAGGGGTTTCTCATAGTGTTGAGCATGATGCTCTTGATGTTTCTGGTCACAGCAGCAAAAAACAGTTAATATTATACAGCAAATCCTGTCTATACTGCTGATTTTGAATAGCCAAGCTGAATATTGTGGTTGTTTGCGGCAGTGCTCATTTCCAAACTAAGAAACAACTGAGTCACTCCATCTACCTCAGCTTTGCCTTCTGCGTGGCCTTTAGCCATAGCCATACCAGCTTTAGCCATTTCTGAATAGTCAGTGTTGAGCTGCTTTGGGGGTACTTGGTGTATTCTTGCAGTAAATCAGTATGAGGGAAAGACTCAGAGCAAAGGAGCTGTAAAGGAGGGAATGCAGGAGCAGCTCCTCAGCTGTCACCTGGGAGTTGTTCAGAGAGGTTCCAAAGAGAGGTGGAAAACAATGCTGAAATTAGAGATGAGTTGTTCAGCAGAGCTGCCCAGGCTCCGAAGAGGTTAAAAAGGCCTTGCAGAGCAAATTGTAGGTAAAATGGAGGTTTCTCTTCAGTGACTGGTTCTACCATTAGGATAAACAGCACTTAACAGGACATTACTGCCAGTTGGTGGGACCTGCAGGCAAGACCTGCTGACAGGTATCAGAGGTCAGCTTAAGAATGGGAGAAACAAGGGAAACCCCGACAAGATGGAAAAGCAGAGAGGTGCCCTCAGAATGTGAGAGGTACCCTGTCATCGCAGGTCTAGCTGCTCCTGCTCAAGGAGAGAGTATAGAGACCCCACATCAGCCATTCCCCCACTATGGGGAGCAGTGATGAGCCCCCTGACCCTTCCTCAGGCTGAGTCCTTGCTGAGGCACTGCCACATTACCCATGAGGTGGCTCCTGGTATGGGGGAGATGTGATGGGGCTTCTCCCTGCCCCTGGTGCAGGCAGAGCCATGACTTGTTGCTGGGCTGTGTGATGTGCTGGTGGCAAAGAGCACCCCTGGTCCTTGCTTCCCTGCAGGGGAAAATCTCCCTACCCCACCCTCACAATCTGTGCATGAGGCTTTCCTGAGGCAGGGGTTTTGCCAAAGGAGTGCCCTGTAAATGTTTTAATGGGTATATTAGGATGGGTGGCTGCCAGGCTCCGAGGCAGCTGGCCTCCCCTGCTTCCCAGGCATGCACAGCTGGTGACGAGTGTCCTGGAAGGCCCGGCGCCAGTCCTGTGTTTTCTGCCTGCAGCCGTGGCTCCGGTGGCTTGCCAGGTCTCACAGGATCCCTTATCCCTGCTTAGTCTTTCTGGTGTCTTTAAGCCCTGTTGACTTATGTCTTACTCACAGATCTAAGGGTTGTAAAGATCACAGTTGCAAGGTGAAAGGTTTTTCCCTCCATTGTGTCAGCATGGGTTTTATTTTAATACAGAAGAAATAGATGTTTCCAAAAAGGACCATTATTCAGTTGTTTTTTGATTTGATTTCCCACCCTGTATTTAGCTATCGGCCACGAGTTTTGCCGTTATGAGGAATATTCTGTGCTGAGACTTCTCTTGTGAGTTCCTGCCCATGATAAATTCTGGCATTGTGCTAGAGGTGTTTTGGTCATTTTTCCTTACAGTCTTGTTTTTTTCCTGCTTTTACTCCCTGATTTCATCTCTCCTGGAGAAGATCTAGAAGAGGGGTTCCCCTAATGCTTCTCATTAGGCTATTGGATTTTATTCTCACTTTCACTTAGCCACCACACCATACCACAGGATAATACTTAGAGTCTACAGTGATGCAAGTATGATGCCACTGATTGTACACCATTTAACTAAAACTAGTTGGTTATTTCACTGTCTTTCTCTTTGAGAGTTTTCATATAGTGGTATTTTGTGGGTTGGGAGGATTTGAGGATTTTCAGTTCTGTTGCATTAGAGACAAATGAAAGAAGCTGATCTTGGTTTGTTGAGGACTGAGCCTCGCAGACCATGGACCATACACATGAAAGCAACTGGACAAAATAAACACCAGGATGAAAAATACAAAGAAGAAAAAAGATGCTAGCATAGGGCCAAATCCTGTATTGCTGATATAGATATCCCTGTTTATACCCACTGAAAATCTGACCTGCAACCTTCGTCACTTCAGATTATCATCTGTGTGGCATCAGGTGTTAATAAATGACCCAAGCACAGGAACTTATCTGATTTGTGCTACTTCATTTTAAGTATTTGCAGCACCTTGAAAAATGACATTTCTTTACCTTGTGCAGCATGAAGTAGGGCAGTGGAAAGTATGCAGAATTTTTAGCTATATTACAGTAAAACCCAGTTTTTAAATTGGTACCTAAATACATCATGATCATATTCTTCAAAGTATATATGTATTTTTTTTAACTGTTGTTTAATACCAGATTGCCACAGTTTGGAAAACCAAGCAAAACCAGGACAGACTTTCGAAAGCTTGATTACAGTTTATTTTTGTTGCATATAATTTTCAATAAGACTGGTTTATTCTAACAGCTGTAATAAGCACAGCAGATCTGAAAGCTGTTTCATGACTGCTGGGTCTCTCTCTTTGTCTCTGATGATGGAGGTGTCTTAATTACTGTTTGTTTTTGTAAATTTTAAGGATTAGTCATCCTTTGATGCCAGATGACTCAGTTGTAAAATACGTTTTCAAATCTTTACGTTCAAAGGCTTGATGGAGTTGAGTTCTGATCGGAGATTTTGAAACATACTGCTCAAACCATAGCTAGGCTTTCAGCAAAAGCATTCTAGTATGCTGCGGCCAGCTTTTAATCTGTTTATATGGAGATCTGACAGTTTTGGAAGATACTTTTTACTGTGGACACTTCAGTTATTGCATCTGTCTCTGCAGCTTTTGTTTGCTGGGTAAATGAAAATCGTCTCCAGATCCTATTGACACAAGAGGTGGTGACTAAAACGTGGATCTGAACTCCTTGCTCTGTGAAAGCAATGGCAGATCTCCCATTGACTTTAATAAGGCCAGGCTTTTTTGCTCTAGCTTCTGTTACTGTCATTCAGCGGCCCTTGGTAGTTTGTATTCGCAGAGCCAGAAGTGTTCTGGGAACTGGGAATGTGATAGTTTTTCCAGCCACTGCTCTCATTTTGTGACTCTGTTATTCCAGTTTTGGGAGGGCCAGGGAATAATTTTCATAGTGTGAAGACTGATTTGGAGCATGAAATCCCCACCAGAAACACCATTACCAGGAGAGTCTAGTGTAATTGTGGATACTTTATTTGTTAGTAACTGGAGCTTTTGGTTGGATCAGACTTTATGGCTTTGTCATGTAGCTGTTTTAGAGACAACCGTCCTTTCTTGTCCTTCTCTTCTGCTGTCTTTTCTTGTTCCTAATGTGTACCTATACTATGCAGGCGTCTTGTTCGCTGGGACAGCTACAGTGCAGCCCCCTTTTAGAACTGAGAAGCCATCATTTCGTTCTGGTGATTTCCATTTCAAGCAGTGTTCATGCAGTGTTTAACACAACTGTAAACTAAACATTGGACCCCTTACATACTGTTTCACACTCTCTTTGCCCATCTTATGCCCTGTTCCCTTGTATGGCCATGACTATCATACCTGTTTCACATAGCAAAAGTCAGTGCCCAGCATCTCACAACCCGTTTCAGCACCCCAGCACAGCAGTGTTCCTGCCCCCTGTGCTGTTCTTCCTCTCCTGTCTTCTAGCACCAAGTTGGTCAGGATGTTCCATATCTCCCCATCCCAATGTCCTTCTCTTTTGCACTGGTTCCTTTCAGATGAGAGACCTGCATGTAGCCAGAACTTCTCCAGCATGCTCTTTCCTTCAACCTCCCTTTGCCCTCCAGACCATTTTTTCTTAAGAATGCCAGTCTTTCAGCCCGAAGTGGAGCAGTGCAGTTGGAATCAATTGGATGGACTGGAGAGAAATAGCATACCGACCAGCTATCCACAATAAAACCTAAGGTTGGATCCAGTTTGCAAGTGGTAGCTCCCTTGAACCTAAAAACAGTGCATGTGAGCTCTTGTAACCAAGTCCCAGGTCATTGCAGGGAGTAAGATTGAGACTACTGCTTTCTGAGCTGATTCAGATCCTGGTTCTGCAGAGATGAGCACTTTATTTCCAAGGGCTTCTGGAGACACCAGTTTGTGAATTGTAAAATGCATTACAAACTAACCTAATGCCTTCACTGTAAGCCTTCAGTGGTCAACGTGTACCGAAGATCATGCTAAAAGGGACGGTCTGCAAGAGCAACCACTGATTTGAATCTGTATAGAAGTTTATTGTGGTACATGTTAAAACTGATTTGCTTCAAACTTCAAACTAAAATGACTGGGGAATTGGTTTATCTCTTGGGGGAAAAGAAAATTGTTTCAAACTGCTGAACTTGAATAAACAAATAGTCTGTGCAATAAATAGTTACACGATGCACAATTAAGATAAAAGATGATTAGTATGCTAACATGTTATATGAGTTTGGCTGCATTAAAAAATAGAGGTATATAGTTATTTGTCTTCAGTTCTGAACTCTAACTATGTTAATGTGTCTCAGTACATACCTCATCGTATTTTATAGGTGGCAAAAGTGGAATATGTTAGAAAAAAGCCAAAATTAAAAGAAGTTCTGGTGAGATTAGAAGAGCATATGGAATGCACCTGTACATCATCAAATACTAATTCAGATTATAGAGAAGAAGAAACTGGTATGTTTTCCTTTTATTTTTGCATTAATGCTGATTTCATATGGTGCTTATTTTTATATTAGTAAAGAATGTAAAGCAAACTTTGCTTCCAGTGAACACAGTAGAGAGGCTCCCAGCTGCTACTCAATGTGTTGAAGATGCAAAATTAGGGACAGTTTGTGCTGTATGAAGAGATTGGATTTGAAGTGTAAAGCGTATCACTTCTCATTAGGCTAGCTTTTAAATATATGTAAATGCCCAATGGTATTCAGGTCTTGCTTAACTAAGTTAAAGTTTGTCATGTTGCAGTTACTGGTGAACTCTGTTGCCTAATTTCTTTAGGCATTGTGGAGACAGGGCTAAGGCTGAGATTTACCGTACACTGGGGAAAATATTAATGAAATGAATGTAAAGGACTTAGGAATACATTCAGTATTAAAGAATAAGGAGTTTTGAAACAACACTGCCCATTCCTGTTGTTTTCTTATTAACATAGTCAAGAATCTATTGTCACTTGTCAAGTTAAACCTAAGTTTGCTGTGCCAAGACAACATTTAAGTTACCATGGGGAAAGATTTAGGGGGAAAAAGATACTTTCAATCTGACCTTCGTAAAACCACCTAAAACTCAGATCCTTTTACTAAGGGGTAATCAGCGCAGAATTTGACACATATGCAGGAAGCCCACTGCAGTAGAAAAGGGACCTCCCTTTCTCCTGATTTTGGTTGAAGGCAACCTCAAAAGTTCGTTTTGCCACCTCTGCTGGGAATTCAGGGGTTCAGTAGACCCACCTCAAAATTAGTCAGTGAAAAGCAGGTAAATTTAGGAGGAAAGCTACCTAAAGGTGGCTAGGTAAGGAAGGGTTTTCTGTCTGTCTCCATCCAGCATGGAGATATAAATCTGATCTAAGCAAATGTTAACTTCAGTTGCTGTGTACAGAGAAGAACTAGAATTTGTAGAAGAGCAAAGTTAGGCCTCTGCTGTGATTTCATTGGATATCAATTTATAATCTGAGCTGAGTGTTTTAGCTGAAACTAGGTTGAGTTATGAGTAGACAAAACCCACATTTTAAATGGTTTTTATGTGTGTATGCTTTGATATTTTTTCTGTGACTTCTATTTGGAAAAAAGTTTCATTGGACCAAGTTCAGTTTTCCAAAATGTCTTTAATTGCCAAAGACTAAGCAGTTAAGATTATAAAATGAAAACTTTTCTTTCTGATGCATGTGAAAAATGAGGTAGAATTGCCATGGAGGAGTATATATTTCTAGGGTTTAATTACTGATAGGAACAAAACTTGCACCAGCAAGTAGATGGTGAGCTGAAAATAGCTTAACTACAGAGCTGAAAGCAAATGTTGAATACTGCATGGTAACAGTAATTATAGATGGATCTTGGAAATGACGTATGCAATGCCAGCTTCGTTTATTATTTCTTTACTTTTGTATAATTACTTTGTAAACGGAATGTCAAATCAGGCGTTATAAAGTTATTACTTTAATGCAAAGAATAATGAGATTTCTTTGAAATGTAAACGGTTTGAGTATTACTTCAGTGTTCAACGAAATGTATTACCTTAGGGCTTTTTACCAGCCCTGCCCTTATGTTAACAGGAAGGCCTAGGGAATCAGGTAAAAAACGGAAACGAAAAAAGTTAAATCCAACATAAAACCTACTGGAACTATTTGATATTCAGGTAGGACCTATATGCTGAACACCCTAATAGCACAAGTACTGGAAAACTTAATCAAATATCATCACTTCAAATTAATCACTGTTCAGAATCTTGACACTTGCTACCTCAAGGCTGCAAAGAGATTAGATTTGATTGGCTTTGATGATTCTACCTGCTGGTATTTTCCCTTTAAGCTCCACATCACCATCAGCATCTTACATTCTTCAGCTACTTCCTTTTCTTGCCTTTTTTGTTCTTTTTTTTTTGGAGGGTGCTAATTCTTCAGCTTCTGAAATCTCAAGTTCCATTGCCTCTGCTTTTATTTCATTATTATTGATTTCTGAGGTCAAAGCATCACATAATAATGCATGAATGAATTTCCAGGTTATAGATGGTTGTGTTTCCAGTCATTGGCTGTAAAAGATTGCGTGTACATACAGCAAATGCTATTTTATGCATGACTATCAAACCCATGTTTTGGCATGAACTGGGATTGATTGTACATGCACCTCAAATGGTCTGATGATCTGCCTACCTGACAAGGAAGATGCTTAGAAATGCCATTTTTTTTTGTGTGTTGTAGAACCCTGTGTTACTTACACCAGAAAATTAAGATCTTTTTTTCTTTGGTCTGTTCAGGCTCAGTACGGTGATGACAGTCAATCATCAAAATTCATGAGGTTTTCAGCGTAGTGAAAAGCTAAAACCCTCTCAATGCAAAATTGACTGAAATCCTTTGGCCAACATATAGTGATGTATGATTATGGCAATACACATTCTAAACTAAATATGTAATTTCCATTTCTTAATGACTTGAAATTACATAAACTGCAGCACTTGCAATTTATTCTAGTATTTGGAGTGGGAATGATTTGGATTTTGCGGTGTATGAGCCTAACGCCTGGATGATGGTGAATTTAATTTCAAGCATCTATTTTTGCACATAAACTCCCAATGGCGAGTTTTCGTTTATACTCACGAATCATTTCAAAAGAATGCTAAACTTGATATCCTGTTTCAGATTAACAGGTATTTATTTGGAGTAGTATGATAGAAGCAAAGATTTTCTAAAATTCAACTTTAAAAGTGAGCATGTAAACTCAATCAAAACAGCATTTAGAACTTCTTGTCCCAGGTTAGTGACTCTTCATGCAGAACGGTTTTTTTAAAGTCATCTACTTAGAGGATAGGACCTTTGATTCTAATCATAGAGTTATTGTATCTTTTTTCTCTCCTGCAGATGTAAGGTGAAAATAAGCTAGGAAAAAAACTTCTCTCTGGGACATGGATGTACATGGTTTGTTACATTCCTGAACCTACTATGTATGGTGCTTATTGACTGTATACTTTATTTGTTCTCCTGTGTGAAAAAACTGGCTCAAAAGAACACTTAATGAGAACAAAGAGACAATGTACATTTGTTTAATGTGACATCAAAGCAAGTATTGTAGCACTCTGTGAAACAATAGGAAGCTTCCCTGTCCAAAAAAGAAAAAAAAAAGAAAAACAGAAAAGAAAAAGAGACAGTTGAATGAATGGAGGATACCAAAAGTACTCAAAAACATGACAAAAATCTAAGTGAATAGTGGATTTCTGTCAGAGCAGTCAACGGTGCTTTACGTCAAGAAATGTGCCTGCGTTCTTGATGAAGATGGATGGACACTGGTGGACTTCAGGCACAAAAAAAGCAGGAATGTATGAAATGATCAAATGCCACGCAAACACTATAGAACAATACATCCTTGCTTGGTGGTGTTTTAAAAGTCTATACAGAAAAAAACCTTCTGGGGAGCCTTAAGTGGATTTTTTGTTTTTTGTTTTTTTTTTTTCTTTTTTCTTTTTTTTTTTTACACCATAAAGTGATTATTAAGTTTTCTTTTTACTCTTTGCCTAGCTTTTTATTATCTCTTGGACTACATTTGCCAATAACACGTATAAAAGACTGGTATAACAATAAGCAGAACACAAAACATTATGGTATTTCTCCTAGTGGGATGCAAACTAATGAGATGTATTAAAATAAAAATGGTATACCTATGCATAATTTTCTAGACGTTTCTTGGTTTATGTTCCCCAACCTCCCCCGTAATTTAAAGCATTACATAAAAAGAGAAAAAAAAAGAGAAAAAAGAGAGATGTGCGTAAACAAATCATAGGATATCCATGCAAAAATCCTTCTTTTTTTTCTTTTCCTTTAAGACTTATGCCAGTTGCCTACTAGTGATATTGTGTTAGCAATTGTCATTCTTATCAGTATACAGATACTTTTATTTCACATGTTGGAGCTGTGTGAAATGTACAAATTCTTGTATCTGCATTGTATAATGTCATGGTGGCATGGGAACTACCTTGCTGCAAATATTTGAACAAAACCTAAAATTCTTTATTTTTGGTAATAATGTTATGCTTTATGTGTATTCAACAGAAATATGTGTTTTTGTAAAGGTGAAGTTTGTATTTTTATCTAAAAATTAACAGTTTTATATACCTGAGAAAGCCTGCTATGTTTTCTTGAACCAAAAAAAAAAAAAGAAAAAAAGAAAAAAAAAAAGCATTTTGTGGTCATATTTTTGTAGTAGAATAGCCCAAATTATAACATCAAAATCTATTTTAACTATAGCAGGGCAGATAAAATACTCTGGCACCAGCTCCTATGTTTTCAAAGTGCCAAAGGATCAAATGTTCAGTTCCCCATGGATTGCAGTGGGAGCCACATGGCTGAATCCTTCTGTACTGCTTTGGAAACGTAGGGCTGTGCCAGGTATGACATGGCTACTCACTTGGCCAAAATCACTGCCCCACCCCAGTAGTTTGGATTATGTACCCTTTGTTTTATTTGGACTATCACATTGGGTATGTAAAATGAACTACTGGATTCTTTTTATTTGTGAAACATCTACAAAGAAATGAAAGAGTTTTCTTAGTTTGGAACGACAAAAAAGTTTGTCTCAAAGACTGTTTCCACTCTAATGAAAAATATCTTCAAACATGAATGAACTGCAGAACCTTAAAACAACAAACGAGAGATTTTTAACCTTTCATTTTCTTTAAATATAGTTCAAACATTCCCCTCCTCTTCCTGTAGCTATGCCCAGTTTCAACCAAACAAAGCAGCGTTGGCTAACGAGTCATCGGCTTCAGATGCTAATGCAGAGATAGATTTAGTCACCATTCTATTTTGTGATCATTTTCCCAGTGTATTTGTTGAGCACCAAAACTGGAAGTACATTTAACTAAGACTGTCTGTGCTTGTTTTCCACTAAGTGTACTGTTCACAATGTTATGCACATGAATGTATGTGTCTGCGTTTAAAAAAAAAGTGTATAAAATGTAATTTATATATTTATGTTTCAGTGGGATGCCAATAATGTTGCTCCGTTCCTTTTTTTGTCTAAAAGATATCTAATGAAAAAACCCCATATATCCATTAAAATCATGTAGATGAAAGGCATTATGTGACCCACTCAGACACTGTGCAGGTATGAAAGGATGTCAAAAGTCACTTCAGTGGAATAATTTGCAAAACAACTTGAGAGTCCTGTGGTTGCACTGGCATAAGAAGGTTACGTTCAGATCTGCGGGCCAGCTTCCCTGGAGTAACTCCATTGAGTATAATGGAGCTCTCCTGATGTACATCACGAGTGAGTCTGGCCCCACAGTAAAGTCTTGGAAAAAAAGCCAGCTGAGAGGCATGCATTTTGTTGGTGCCAGCAAATAAATGTGTTATGCCAAATTCAGAAAACCAGGAGAGAGTGAAGACTGAATGGAGTCTTTTCTAGTAGTCATTTGTTCGAGACTTGTAGTCTCAAGTTAATTTTGTTACCAGGAACAAAACGCACGAGTCTTTGTTCTCAAGCACAGTGTTTATACGGTGTGCAGCAGAAACCAAAAATCTCAGGGCTATGTTCTCAACTAGTATAAATTGGCAAGTATTTTTGACTTCAGCCGCCCCTAAGCTAATTTACATCAGATGAGGATCCAGTCCATAGTTTTTAAAATACGAGGAGTAGTGTCATGGCGTGAGCATCACTTACTGTAGCCCAGCTGGGATATAACCTGCCAGCCTTTCAAACATTACAGGCTATGGTATCAGTCCTTCTTCTTCAAAGTGGCAGATACAACCAGAAGGAAGAGTAATGTTAAAATTGTGACACAGGAGACATTAATTCAAAGTTAAGTTGGACATTTCAAAGGCCATATCCTCAGCTGGTGTAAATCACCATCACTCCATTGCCTGCAATGGAGCTGTACCAGCTTACACCACTTGAGGGGCTGGTCCCTCATTCTTGCTCATCTCTTTTTGCTACTTGGTCCTGCAGGGATCTCAGATTGTTGTGTATGGTTAATGTAATCCTGTGTTCTCTAATACTTAAGCACAATAAGTGAATATAAGAATGAGTGTCAGACTTAACTTTGAATGTCCAAGCTTTGAAATGGTTTGTTTCACCATTGTGGCTGTAAATTAAACAGTTCTCTGTGCATTTGTGAATGCTGTGTCATATCTTCTTCCGCTGTGTATTGGAGGTGGACTCTATATGGACTTCTAAAGTGATGCATTTGGAGTGTTAGAGGGAAGGGGGTGAACAATTGGAGCTTCCAGATAGATACCTGATTGACCGCTCTGTGATTTTGGGATGGGGGACTAGCAGGGGGCTTAATGAAAGAGCTGAAGATGGTAGTTGTTGTTAAGTCACATTTCCATGCAGTCCTTTTAACACCTTGTCGCTCTTGTCCTTGCACATACTAGGGAGAGATTTGGGAATAAACCATTTCTGTTTCACATTCTGCAGTCACTTCCTCTGCACAGAGATTCAGAAGTTGTTGGTCTGATTTCACCTTTTTTTGAAGTATTTTCTGGCCAGAAAGTGTATGTGTAGGGGACTGCCTGAAAACAAGCTTGGTGTTATGATGCATGGTCACTGATTCTCTAGTTGATTCATTACATCTAATGCTGTGCTTCATCTTTCCACAGCCCTTCAGTTGCTTTTGTTGAGTGAAATCTAGGATTACGTGCCAATTTGCTTTCCTTTTCTCCTGTCTTCCATCCTGCTTGGCATCTGCTTTATTAGACAGTGCACGGTGACTACAGGCTTGCTCTTCTCCAGCCCTGGAGGTTCCTAGGCAGCTCCAGCACTTCTGTGTCTTTGAGCTTAGGCTTTTTTACTCTGCTTGGAACAGCATCTCATGGGTCTCCTCCTTCCAATGGGCTTCAGCATTATGGCTATGAGGTTCTCTTGGCTGTCCTCCTCGGGTCCATGTTGACTTTCTGTGGTCTGCTTTCTAGCAGTTCTCTGCCTGACTTCCCCACCCCTCTGTTTCTGTTGCTCAAAAATGATTTTCCCTTCCTAGGATCTGTCTCATCATATATCTCTTCTCTCCTGCCTGACAGAACAGCCTTTGATCTCTTTATCTCCAAATCAATTGCTTTATCTAGGCATGTCCCCTGAGATCCTGTGTCCCAGGCATACAGGCCCATAACTGCCCCTCACATGAAAGACAAATGCTGTTATTTAGACACATGTTTGTGGAGACAAAAAGATTCACCTTTTCATTTGGAAAAAGACTTATTACTGGGGGCTCCTTTCTAAAGCACTGTCCAGTTCCAGCTACAGTGTAACTCTGAAATAGTAGCATTGAAGCTGTTCCAAACATCTGACAGGACAATTAAGACCAGTGGACCGATTTACAATTTAGTTTGAAAGTGTACCCAAAACCAAAGATGAAGTTTCAAAGCTACCTCGGATTTGCATGCTCATATTTTACTGTAAATTGAAGGAAATTGTGTTTGTAGGCCCCTTCCATGGCTTTGAAAACCTTACTCTGAATATTTATCTGACCCTCTATTGGGCTGGAGATCATAGTTGCTTAAAAACACAAACAATGTGGAGGTTTTCAATGAAGTATTTTTCTTGGTGTTTCTAATACACAGCTTCCAGTACTAGCTGAGAAAAAAGAGTCGAGTAAAAATCATTTAAACCCATAAGAATCCCACTTAAGTTTGCTTTAATTTCAGGTATCAGAGAAAAGCCTCTCAGTGTTACATTCCTCACAAATCACCTTATGTTTTGTATTTATGATTCCATTTAATTATTGTGTGTTTCCCCGCATTTTAATGGCAAGATATTATTCCATGTCTGAGCTTTTCTGTGCTGCTCTTGCTGTAGCATCTCTGCGGCACAGCCTTGAACTGGTTTGTACTCATATCTCCTCTGAAATAAAGAACTATTGTTATCCCATTTTAGGCGAGACCGAGGCATGGAGAAATGACTGTGCAAGGTCACACAGCAAGGCTATGGCAGAACCAGGGATAGGACTCAGATCTGAGTGCTCATCCAGTGCCCTAAATCACACGACCATCTTCCCTTTCCAAGAATGAATCCTTGCACCCTTAGAGCTAAATACTGAAAAGATTGAGGGTAAGTCATTTTGCCTAATTATTGTGCATTGGATACATGATAAAAACCACTGCCGTTTCATCAGAGAATGTAGTGACTGATGAAAATCCAGCTTTCTGCCCATGCAGTTATGCAGCCTTTTATGCTATGACAAGCTAGTCATTTCCTGCATCTCTAAGGAGTCAACCTTTTGTGACTTACAGTGAAAATTATGCACTTAGAACAAATCAAGACTCAGATTTTATGGGAATTTGCAAAAATTCAGTAGGCAATTTTCACTGCACTTCCCTTTAGTTGAGTGTCATTCATTCCTTTTATGGTATGGGTAACATTTCCTAAGGGAACTGTTTTTATCATGGGCCCAATCCTGGGTTTTTTTTTCCCAGGCCCTAACGTGGAAAAGCACTTTAAGAGGTGCCTGTATTTGCCCTTCTTCAAACTGGTGCCTAAGCATGCTTGTAACTTCGGACAAACATCCCATTGACCTCAGGCAAATGGAGCAGAGTTGATGCATTAGGGCGTGCCTTCCTGCCACAGGATTCCAGTTGTGGGATGGGGTCTTCATGCTCTTAGAATGATGAAGTACTTTGTAAGCAACCCTAGAGATGAAGCAACAAGACTAGAATATACAACTAGAAAAACAGCTGGGAGAAATCTACCCTCTTCTCCTTCTGTGGAGGTTGCCATTTTGAAATACGTATTTATCCTTTTTTGGGAAGGTACTTCTTTGGTGTGGGTGGATTCAGGACTGCAGTTGCTAATGCCAGTGAGCCCATTTAAGATTTTCATCTGTTTGGGTACCTCAGAGAATATAATTTGAAACTCTGCAAGTCATGCCCATAACAGACAAATTTGAGATGGTGAAAAAATAATGAGAGCAAATTTCCTGTGAAATTTGGCAACTTTTGGTGTAGGAAAAAAAAAAAAAAGGAGGGTGAATTACGAGAAAAAAATAACAGGTTCAAAAGCTTGGTCATTCCTTTTATAATGGTAGAATGTTACCCATAGTCATTCTAATTATTTGCTGCATCAGGCTAAATTATGTGCTGAAGTAGCTGAGAATCACTACAACATGTAAGAAGTTACGGCTGGTTCTCAGTGAACTGCTACCTATTATGGCATATGACTGTGAGGTGGGGCCTGCAATCAGGGTTGTAAATCAGAGAACAAGTCATAGGTTAGGTACTGTTTTCCTTAGATATTGTCTCTAAGTTTGTTTTCTGTATGCTAGTCTCATGAGTGACGTTTGGCGAGCTTTTCAGTTAGGTGTAAAGTCAAGAATAGATAGGTCCCAACCTGAAACTAAAGACGTGCCAACTCTTTGCCTTGTTCATGATCAATAGGTTAAAATCTGGCAACATCCTGGAGATACATTTTCTGTCACTGAAGATTTCAGTGTCACATTCTTCTAGTGTTACTTACTCCCCTAGAGGGGAATCAGATCATTATGATATTTGACTCATTAGCAGGCCATCAAATCTGACTTGGTTTGAGTTTTCAGCATCCAAAAATTTGTTTGGACTGATACTTTTACATGGCAAATGTCTTCCAGGACCTTAGACAAAAATACACAAAGAAAGGCTGACTTGTGTGCTTCATCAGAAAAAATCCACATATGAAGGCTGGAGTAGTCCCTCTAACAGGGAAATGAGGAGCCAAGGTTGTAACAAGTGTGGCACACCTGTCTTCTCAAGATCAGACCTGGTGCTTTGGCCTCTGTGTACTATCTTTGATCTCGCATGATGAAGGCGACTAGTTTTACTGGCCATCTTTGAAACTGAGAGTAGGTGTTGAGCCCACTATGCAAAAACCAGAAGCACCCATAAATGCAATTGAGCCCATAGCACTTGAAATCCCCTGGGGCTTTTGAAAACATCTTGATTCTATGAAGACAATCACAAATTAATAGAAGAAAAGCATTTTAAATACTTCTGAAAATCCCACCCTGGCTTATTTGGCAGGTGAAAAAAAAGAACCTATGAAAGATTGTACATGTAATAATCATTCAGACAAAGTAGGTGTTCATAGAAAATGCTCGTGTTTAAATCTATTGGCAGTTAATGATCATCTTTACACACCATAATACTTGAATACTTCACTTATCAATACATCAGGGCTTGGATGAACTTTGAGACGTATGAAAGTGGGACACTCCTTAGGCCCTGGTAGCTCTGTGTTCCAGTAACTGATCAACCAATTACATAATTGGCCGGATTACCAACTTGCATAAATAGATACAACTCTGTTGACTTCACTGCAGGTGACAGTTACCTGAGAATTGACCCGAAACTCTTGCCATGAAGCAGATAATGGTTTCATATTTTGCTGTTTAGTGTTGTTTTAAAAATAGATTCATTTCCTGGAGCAGTTAAATCAAGAAAATCTGAAAAAAGCAATTTCTCACAGAGACTCGTCCACATTGGAATTTGCCGAGGTCCCTGGATGTGAATATGTGCTGTTAGAAAACAGAAAACAGCAACTTTGTTTAGGGAAGCCTCTGACCTGCAGAGCATTTGTTACCAGACTTTTCCTTGGCAATTAGCGGGTAGAATTGCTCATAGAAATTGTTTTGTTTGCTCACAAGGGGAGAAGCAAGACATAAATTCAAGTTATCCCCTGTTTAACCACAAGAAGGAAGACTGTTCACAGAGGGCCTGCGGATGAAGTGCTGAGCAGCCTCAGCTCCCTTTGGGGTATGGACTCAAACTTGTAGACCTCAGTGAAGTATCAAGATCCCTCCAGAATTGCTGGATATCCCTAGCTGTGATTTTTTATTTTTTTAATTTTTTTTTTTTTAATCAGTCTAAGGAATTTGGGCAACCCATTTAAACTTATTTTTACAAGACTTTCAAGAAACCTCATTTGGCTTCAGAACATCTCTGTCTTGGTTCTGCAGAGGTTAATTTTGACCCAGGGATGTCACCGTGACTGCTGTATTCCTTCTGTATGTAGCAGCGCTCAAACCTTAGGTTTTCTTTCTGCTGTTTGGTGTAGGTGTTTCTCAGCAGTGAAGTTTCAAGTGCTCTGTTCACTGCTGGGACAGCCTAACATTTGAAATGGGGAGTCCTACTTATGCTAGCCATGCT